AATCATTCGATTATTAAAATCATTCGATTATGCCCATCACTAGTTATGATATTAGAGTCAATTGACCTATTATCAAGTTTTTAAGTAAATGCGTTTTTATCTGCGTTGTTTTTTACGATTTTTAAATTTTTAAGTGAATTTCGAGAATTTTCCAATATTAATTTTTCACCTATTCTTAATACATTTTACTTTATTATAGGATATCATTTTTAAATGTTGGTACCAAGTGACAGTGAGAATATTTACTGCAATCGTTTCTAGGTAGGGTACCGGTGACGTGTCGAATGTGTCATGTGTGTGTGTGTTTTTGAAATGTTTTACAATATAAAATAATTAATAATTATTGTTATATTTTTTCTTTCCCCCACTCAAGTCTTGATTACTTTAATTGTACATGTGGCAACAGGCCGTCAAACCAAACGGCATACATAACTGGGCATTTTACTATATAGGTTAGGTAGTTTAGTGTTCGTTGATGCCTTGATGGGTAGCCCGCAATCCTTTGTGAGAACAACTGATGCAATCAACCCCACGATGCTTATCCATCCTTTCCGTTATGCTGRTTGGAGGGGATGAGAGGTCGTTCATACATTAGACTATTAGAGAGGTACTCCCGTATTGTTCAACAACTGTTCACACTGTTCACAGTTCATTGTTCTCGGTGTGCTCCAATGCTCGATAGTTGATGCGATGGAAATTTCTTAGTTTCTTACTTCCGTCGTGCCGCACAATAAAAATATTAAAAATTTTGGACTGTCGAATAAAAACTGTGCCGTTACCGACTAAATTCTTCGAATACATTATATTATTATTTTAGTCACAATTCTGCAGCCAAACGGCAGTCGTGCGAGCATTTACTAACCTTTATAGCGTATTTTTGTAACTTCTCCAATATTCACCTTTAGTTTGATTCGCAAGTGCCGGCAATTCACGGCGATGGCCCGAGGATCTTTAATTAATCTCTGCTCATAACCGTAAGTACATTAATTATCTTAATATAATTTTTAGTTAGTTTCTGTTTGTGTCATACAATATTATCATTGATTATAAACACTAGTATTAGTGGTATTTACTATTATATTTATGCGCAGTGTTTACTATTTATTCACATTTTTCAATTGATACCTAATTAATTTAAGACATTGGTTGATATTAGAGATGTTACGAACCATAATATTAAAGGTCGGACCGAACTTTTCTTTAAATTAACGAACTCGAACAGATCCGAACCTACACACTTTTAATCAAACCAGAACCGAACCGAACTCATCAAATATTTTATCGAACTCGAACCGARCATAAAAGTTAAATTGGATATTATTTTATTTAATATTTATTTATCATTTAGCCACCATACCTCAGAATTATTGAATAAAGATTTTTATTATTAAGTATTTAAATACCTACTTTAATATTAGTTAATAATTATTATGCATGAGATTTTTAATTTTTAAT